CTCTCTCTCTCTCTCTCTCTCTCTCTCTCTCTCTCTCTCTCTCTCTCCCTCCCTCCCTCCCTCCCTCATATTAATATATCCTACAGAGGATGAATTATTTGTATTTTTCTTTGAATCTGCTCCTATCCTTGCTTGGATGATCCTTATGTCTTACAATTCAAGTTATGTCATATGTATTTATTACAGCAATAACATTTCTAGCCTGCTCTGCCCCCAAAGGCATGGAAAGATACACACAGAAAAACCAGAGGTCTAAAAATAATAAGAAATAACACATATTATAATGGCATCGCCCCAAATTTAACATCTCCCAGAGTCAAGTTTTCATATCATGGAATAGTCATCATCATAAATGAAAAAATGAACAGGTATTTTATTCATAACAGTAATTGAAAATAAGAAAATCTAATTTACTGATGTTGCTACACCCAATGATATTAGGGCTGAGGAAAAGCAATCTAAAAAAAATTACAAAATCCCAGGATTTGTAGATTGAAGTTGAATGCTTATAAAAAAAAAGAAATCTGCTGTTATACCAAACATGATTGAAGCCCTTGGAACAATACCTAAAGAATTTCCTCAGTATTGGTCATTTTGGATATTGGGCCTGAATACCCTAATTTTACACACACACACAATACACTGGGACTGCCTCTATCCTGCTAGCTAAATAATTATTAGGTTCTTGGTTAGAAGTTAAATTATTAAATTTTCATCAGTCTTTGACTGTGAATCTAATTGTAGATTACTTGTATAATGATAAATTATTCACAAATGAGACAGTGACAATTCATAGGGAGATTCTTATACATGTCTATTGAGAAATAAATCTTTATCGTATTTACAAAGCGCCATCATGGTTTAACAACCAAGCTTGTTGAATAAACTGTCATTGATTGGATCCACCCATCTTCTTAAGCCATAAGCCAAAGAAATCATAATGGCTTGGCAATGCAACATTTTACAAGATCTCAGGTTCTAATTCTACTGTTTTTCAAAACCAGAGATTTTATTAAATGACTGGTTGTCAAAGTGGAGAATGTTGGGATTAGTGAACTAATGGCCCAGATCAAGATCAAGACTATGTGGACAGTCTCAGAGATGCCTAGCTGAAGATCCAGGGCATGCTGGAGGAAAGGCAGAACAGCCTGTGGGATTGTGCATTGAAGCCAGGGGTCTATGCTTCAGTACCTTCCCATTCTTGCTTAGTTTTTAAGAAAATTTGTAATGTTATTTCATATTCGCCGATGAGGCTGCCTTGGTGAAATGCTCTCATAGAGCACTGCGCACCAGAACAACTAGACACAAGGACAGTTTTTTCCCAAACGCCATCACTCTGCTAAACAAATAATTCCCTCAACACTGTCCAACTATTTACAAAGTCTGCACTACTATTACTATTAAACTTCTCATCACTCCTTATCACCCATCCCCTCCCACTTGTGACTGTATGACTGTAACTTTGTATCCTTACGATTTATATTGACTGTTTCCTAGTATGATTTGATTGCTTATTGTACCCTATGACTATCATTAAGTGTTGTATCTTATGATTCTTGACCCTTAACGAATGTATCTTTTATGTACAGTGAAAGCATTTGCACTCAGACAAATTCCTTGTGTGTCCAATCACACTTGGCCATTAAAGAATTCTATTCTTAATATATCCCACTTTATTTCCAGTCCAGCTGAAGGACAGCTTTGAATCTCACACCTTTTTCTTCCTGGTGTTTGATCTGTAAGTATCAAAGTTCTTTTTGGGGTGAGGAGAAGGGAAGTGTCAAATGTGTTCTCCTTAAAAAAGTTACTTTTCTAGGCTGGGTGATTGCCTTATGCTTTCTATGTTCCTGAGAAGCAGTTTCAGAACTGTAGCTAGCCAATCATCATATGTTGGCCAACTTGACTTGGCAGATGGATCATTTGTGTGGAAATATACTCATTGAGGTAGATGAATGTATGGCTTCAGAAGACACTTCTTGATTCAGCACCTATTTCCAAATGTGGACTTTTCTATCATCAAATGCAGACTACTAACTTCAGTACCTTAAAAGAGGTTAAACAAATTCAATTATTTTTATTATTATGGTTGGTTGCACTGTCAGCCAGCGGTTTAGACTGGATTTGGCATTTTTACCCCTCTATCCTTCCCAAGGATCTGGGATAGAGGGACAAAGGTTGTTGTTTTGTGGTATTAAAGGTAGCAAGACAAAAGCTGTTCCAGGTAAAAGCTGCCTTTTGCAATTGATTGATGGTGTTTTTGTGAGTGCTGACAAGTGATGGGATTCAAAAAATTTTACTACTGGTTCTGTGGGCGTGGCTTGGTGGGCGTGGCAGGGGAAGGATACTGTAAAATCTCCAGTCAGAGGTGGTATTTGCCAGTTCTCCAAACTACTCAAAATTTCCGCTACTGGTTCTCCAGAACTGATCAGAACCTGCTGAATACCACTTCTGGTGCTGACCTGGTGTCTAAGTGATGCTCCAAACATTTTGGGATTTGTACCCAAGGCACCTATTACCATTGGTACTATCTTTGCTTTCTTTTACTACAGTCATTCTACTTCTGTTTGGAGGTCTTTGTATTTTGTGATTTTCTTCCATTCTTTTTCTTCTATTCTGCTGCTTCCAGGTACTGCCATGTCCACTAACCAAACTTTCTGTCTTATTGACGGTTGTTAAGTCTGGGGTATTATGTGGCAGGTGCTTGTCTGTTTGAACTGAAAAGACCCACAGAACTTTAGCTTCTTCATTTTCTATTATTTTGTCTAGCTTGTGGTATTACCAGTTCTTGCTTTCAGGCCAATGGTACTACTTGCAGATATTCCCCTTACTATTTTTGTTTAAAATCATCATGGCTGTCCCTTTTTTCCACCACGCAAAATGAGGCAATGCCAATTCACTGTGCAATCCTGTGCATGTCTACTCAGGTGTAAATCTAACTGGCTGTGTTTGTACATCACGCTTAATTGTGGTTTGTTTTAACCATTGCTTAGTGAATAAGTCATAATTGATAGGGTTCACACATCATGTTAAGCTACAAGTAGTCCTTGACTTATGACAACAACTCAGCCCAAAATTTCTGTTGCTAAGTGAGACATTTGTTAAGGATTTTTTTTCCCATTCTATAACCTTTCTTGACACATTTGTTAAGTGAATCACTGCAGTTGTTAGTAACACAGTTATTAAGTGAATCTGGCTTCCCCTCTGACTTTGCTTGTCCAAAGATCGTGTAAGGTGATCACATGACTTTGGGACACAGCAACAGACATAAATATGAAGCAGTTGCCAAGCACCTGGATTTTGGTCATGTGACCATGGGGATACTGCAACGGTCATAAGTGTCATACGTCACTTTTTTCAGCACTGTTGTGACTTCAAAGTCACTAAATGAACTGTTGTAAGTTGAGGACTACCTGTATAAAAAAACAAAAATGCTAACAGTGTAGGACTAGGATGAAGAGAAACAGTTTTTGATCTCCCCTGAGTTGAGCAACTGGCTGGTTGCTTTGGATCAAACCCTATCTCTTAGCCTATGACAGTGGTGGCTAACCTTTTTGGTCTCCTGTGGCAAAAATTGTGCACGCACATGCGCGGAAGTGCCAGCACCCAGAAGGCAATGCGCGCCTGCCACCCTGCGCATGCATGTGCAATCCCCCCTGCCGCCCCCTTACCTGCACTGCGCCTCCCAGCTGATTTTCAGCCTGCTTGGGGCCATTTCTGGCCTCCCAGAGGCTTGAGGACAGCTTCTGCAGCCTTTGCAGGCCAAAAAATAGGCCCGTTTCGTCACTTCCGGTATTTCCGGGAATACAGGAAGTGACAAAACAGGCCTATGTTTCATCCTGCAAAGCCTGCAGAAGCTGTCCTCAAGCCTCTGGGAGGCCAAAAAAGGCCTCAAACAGTCTGAAAATCAGCTGTGAGGCACGCGCATCTGCAGTGAGGTAAGTTTGCCTGCTGAACGCGTGCCATAGGTTCGTCATCAAGTGCCTATGATATGCCACAGGTTAAGATGGGGGAGAATCATGCACAGGGGCTGCCACAAAGAAGAGGGAGTCAACCTATTCTCCAAAGCACCTGAGGGCAGGATAAGAAACAATGGGTGGAAACTAATCCAGGAGAGAAGCAACCTAGAACTAAGGAGGAATTTCCTGACAGTTAGAACAATTAATCAGTGGAACAACTTGCCTCCAGAAGTTGTGAATGCTTCAACACTGGAAGTTTTTAAAAAGATGTTGGATAACTATTTGTCTGAAGTGGTGTAGGGTTTCCTGCCTAAGCAGGGGGTTGGACTAGAAGACCTCCAAGGTCCCTTCCAACTTTGTTATTCTAATATTCTATTCTAATATTCTAATGTCACAGATATGTAGTTTAACCACATTTCATACAGGAAATACAGCAAGAAACCCCCATAGCTAAGTGAAATGCCCATGTCCTGGAGCAGCCTACCTCTTAGGCAAGTAAGTCATGCTTGCCAGTTTCTCAAAGGCCTTGGTCTGCTTGATAAAGGCCACACTGTTTAGGAGCAGGTGCATGGTGACTCCAGCAAAAGACTTCTTGTGTTCACCCATCCATATATTGTAATTTTATATCTCTGCCAGCTTGTTTAACTGTTTGTGAAGGTTTCTGCTGATCTCAGGGCCAGCTGTACCATCCACCAAACCAACCAACCACCCGCAGCCACAAGGGAGCGAAGTTGCCTGCAGCTGTTTCATCTTCTTGGTCCCGTATCAATAGCCTGCTCAGATTTCCACATAACCTTTGCTAAGATCTTGGCAGTCACAGATCCACACTATTTTTAGGCATCCTAGACTTGCGTAATACTTTCATGGATGTCTGCTTGAAACCGCTGTACCAGCATTACAGCTTCCATGGGAAGAGAAAGTCCCAAACTCAAAAAGTTGTTTAAAACAGATTGCTTGAAGACTCTTTGCCAGTGAAAAACCTGACAGGGCAGGAAAGGGATGTAACAACGGTCTTTGATATAGAGGAGCTTGTAGAACTGTTATTTTTAAAAGCAACTTGTAATGTTGACAATAGCAGCATAAATAAAATACTATACTGTATAGAGAAGCTTGTAGAGTAGTGTGTTTTTTTTTAAAGCAAATTGTAATAACAGCATAAATGAAATATTTAAATCAGCCTTGCAGATTCAGTGCTCTCCAGATGAGGAGAAGATATTTGGTGGTACCGTTTCAACAACACATTTTAACAGAATAACAGAGTTGGAAGGGCCCTTGGAGGTCTTCTAGTCCAACTCCTTGCTCAGGCAGGAAACCCTATAACATTTCAGACAAATCTCTTCTTAAAGGCCTCCATGTTGGAGCATCTACAACTTCTGGAGGAAAATAGTTCCACTGCTTAATTAGTCTAACTGTCAGGAAATCTCTCCTTAGTTCTAGGTTGCTTCTCTCCTTGATTAGTTTCCACCCATTGCTTCTTGTCCTGCCTTCAGCTGCTTTGGAGAGCCCCTGAGCTATTGGAACACTGCTATCATGTCACCCCTAGTCCTCTTTTCATCAGACTAGACATACTCATTTCCAGCAACCGTTCTTCATATGTTTTGGCCTCCAGTCCCCTAATCATCTTTGTTGCTCTTCTCTGCACTCTTTCTAGAGTCTCAACATCTTTTTTACATCATGGCAACCAAACCAGGATGCAGTAGTCCAAGTGTGGCCTTACCAAGGTGTTATAAATTATAGGCATTATGTTTGATAAAGGCATAATCTTTTGGGAGTTATAGCCGACGTGTTCATATGCACAGAGTGATTAAATTGATACAGGATGTAATTTGGGGTGAGGGGTGGAATGAAAGAGCGGAAGAAAGAAGACAGGTACAGTTTACATATAAAGCACATTATAACTACCTTATCAATTAACAAATGTAATACATTAGAAACCTCTTGTGTGTCTTGAGATCTTCCAAGATGGTCTCACTCCTTTTGACGTATAGGTAGTTCACAACTTACAATCATTCATTAAGTAACCATTCAAAGCTACCGTACAACAGTACTGAAAAGTGACTTATGACTGTTTTTTTCACATTTACAGCCACTGCAGTATAATCAGGGTCCTGTGATCAAAATTCAGCTGCTTGGCAGCTGGGATGTATTTATGACAGTTGCACTGTCCAGGGGTCATGTGACCACCAGTTGTAACCTTCCTAGCTGGCTTCCGACAAGCAAAGTCAATGGGAGAACCCAAATTTGCTTCATGATCACGATTCACTTAACAGCTGCAGTGATTTGCTTAACAACTATGGCAGAAAAAGTGGTAAAATGGGGGGAAATCCACTTAACAACTGCCTTTAGCAGTGGAAATTTGGAGTTCAATTGTGGTCTTAAATCAAATTTAATTAAATTCCACAATCTCTCAGCTTTACAAATCAAGGATCAGATTCCTAATTTTTGGCTACGATAGACCAGTGTTTCACAACCTGTGTGGACTTCAGCTCCCAGAATTCCCTAGCCAGCATGTTGAAGTTGAAGTCCACTGGAGGAGTTGAAGTCCACACATTTTAAAGTTGCCAAGATCAAGAAGCACTGGGATAGACAGCCACATCCAAGACAGAAGCAGGAGTGTTTTGTTTTTATACCATTTTTGTTTTTAACATACTCTACATGTCTAAATTTTCCCTCTAAACAGAATGAAGAAAGGGGAGCTGTTTGATTACCTTACAGAGAAGGTGACCTTAAGTGAGAAGGAAACTAGGTGAGCTATTTCAACCAACCTGCTAATCTCGTCAAAACATGGAACTCCTCTCCTGCAAGCTAGTGAAATATGTGGTGCCCTGTGTAAACGATTATACAGATTAGTTGTGACTAGAATAGAATAGAATTTTTTATTGGCCAAGTGTGATTGGACACACAAGGAATTTGTTTTGGTGCAAATGCTCTCAGTGTTCATAAAAAGAAAAAGAAAAAATATATTCGTCAAGAGTCATAGGTATAACACTTAATATTGGTCAAAGGGTACAAATAAGCAATCAAGTCATACTAGGAAACATAATAATAAGCGATCAAATCAAATTATACTAGTAAACGTCAATTAAAAAATCCTAAGGATACAAGCAATAAAGTTACATTCATGCAGTCATAAGTGGGAGGAGATGGGTGAAAGGAAGGATGAGAAGATGAATAGTAATAGTAATTGTAATGCAGACTTAGTAAATAGTTTGACAGTGTTAAGGGAACTATTTGTTTAGCAGAGTGATGGCATTTGGGGAAAAACTGTCCTTCTGTTTGGTTGTTCTGAAGTGCAGTGCTCTATAGCATCATTTTGAGGGTAGGAGTTGAAACAGTTTATGTCCAGGGTGTGAGGAGTCTGTAAATATTTTCACAGCCCTCTTTTTGACTCGAGAATTATACAGGTCCTCGATGGAAGGCAGGTTGATAGTTGTTTTTTCTGCAGTCCTAATTATCCTCTGAAGTCTCTGTCTGTCTTGTTAGGTTGCAGAAGCAAACCAGAGAGTTATAGAGGTGCAGATGACAGACCCAATAATTCCTCTGTAGGACTTTATCAACAGCTCCTTGGGCAGTTTGAGCTTTCTGAGTTGGCACAGAAAGAACATTCTTTGTTGTGCTTTTTTTAATGATGCTTTTGGTGCTAGTCCATTTTAGGTCTCTAAAATCTCTTTGGTTTAAATAACCAACAAAGTTTAGGAATCTTAGTTTAGAATTGTACTGTACTGTATTGTGATTTACTTCAGCCATAGCTTAGTGTATGTGAAGTACTTTGAGCCATGTACAAAATGTTTTCTTCTCTCTATTTCAGTGTTTCTCAACCTTGCCAATTATATGGACATAACATAAAATATGTGGACTTCAACACCACAGAATTCCTCAGCCAGCATAAGATATTCTTGGAGTAGAAGTCCACCTATCTTAAAGTTGGCAAGATTGGGAAACACTGCTCTATTTGGTAGCTGTAAGCAACTCATTGATCGTTCCATATAATACAGGGATTTCAAGCATTTACAAGAGGTGTCCATAGTGAAATTCAGTTTGAGATGTTAAACTAATGGATTTCTGCATTAGGCAGTGGTTAAACTAGATGTTCTCCCGGTTCTCTTCTAGCCCTTACAATCTATTTCAGTGGTGACTAACCTTTTTGGGCTCCCATGCCAAAAATTGTGTGTGCGCTTGCATGCCAGTACCCAGAAAGCAATGCACGCAGGGGCCCCCATGCCCCCTGTGCATGCTTGTGCGATCCCCCCACTCATGTTGCGCATCTCTGCGCATGTGCGCACATCACTCGCACACCCCTGCCCCCTGTGCATGCATGCCAGTTATCTGACAATATAACTGGGTGGGACTCTTCTGGACGACCTCTCACGTGCTGGCAGAAGTGGCTCTACATGCCACTTCCGGCACGCTTGCCATAGGTTTGCCATTATGGATTTATTCAATACTATAATTCTATGAAAACACATTATAGGATTTGCTGCATCTCTTTACTGCCCTCTAATGGTTGTGTAGAATTGGGCAGGCAACCCAGATCTGGTAGCCCTGGTGACATAATCCCCAAATGCAAATATCCTTCATTCACACCTGATGATTGTGAGATCAAAACATCCCGACCTGACATGCTCATGTGTTGGATATCTTCCAAGATATTTGAAAATTAAGGAAGACCAGCTAAACATGATCAATGGGCAATGCCAGGAACCAAGCATAGGTTTTTGGTGTGGGGTATAAAAAATGTCTGCCTTTTCTTCCGGATATTTGCTCATTTAAAGAGAGGTGTGGTGGCGCAGTCGTTAGAATGCAGTACTGCAGGCTACTTCTGCTGCCTGCCAACTGCTTGCAATTTGCAGATCGAATTTCACCAGGCTCAAGGTTGACTCAGTCTTCCATCTTTCTGAGGTCATTAAAATTAGGACCAGATTGTTCGGGGCAATAGGCTGTAAACCACTTAGAGCGGGCTGTAAAAGCACTGTGAAGTGGTATGTAAGTCTAAGTGCTACTACTATTTAACTAACCAGATCATTTTCTCCTTGTAGGAAAATCATGCGTGCTCTTTTTGAAGTAATTCAGTTCCTCCATGGCTTGAACATTGTCCACAGAGATCTCAAGCCAGAGAACATCCTGCTAGATGACGACATGAACATCAGACTCACTGACTTTGGCTTCTCATGTCAGCTGCAGGAAAATGAAAAACTCAAAGGTTGCCTGTCGATCTCGGGCAGAAATTTTAAGGGAGAGGGCTATGAATTGGTGGCCTGCCTGTGGCAGTGAAGCTTAGGAACGTAACTACCTAAGGAGACACCTACACTGAATCAGCTTGCTCAAACCAGCTGTAGCATGTTATATGAATTCAGCTATCACAATTTGCTAACCATGGATATTAAAACTTTGCATATGGCAGTGGACTTAGTCAACTGCAAATCATTAAGTAAGCCATAGAAACCTAGGATTTAATGCAATGTGTAAATAATTTTCTACATTGACCAAGGGCACTTCTTCAGGATTCTGCAAAAGATTAAAAAATTAGCCAGAAATTGAATTTGGGATCTTTTACAGACAATTTGCCCAATTGGTGAACCATCTTTAAGTCCTCTTTAACTGCTACAATGTTAAAGTCATGTTTTTTCTTCCTACACAAATTTTGTTGTGCATATGATCTGACATGCTTCGTTGATACAGTTGGTGATTATATATTTGGAGGCGGAGATTTTAGCTTTGGCGGTCATTTTAGGCTGCTGCAATCACATTTTGTCTCCTCTGGTCTTGGGCATGGTTATCCAGGGAAGATTAGACATGTGGCTTCCACAGAAACATCTGCCTGTATAATGCCAAACCATTGCTTTTCCATACAAGCAAACTTGTAATATGCTTCTTATATTCCTGGAATTATCACTCTTATGAAAGAGCACTAGATCTATGTGTTATAAACATAATGAATTTTCTCTTGGGAGAATAATAATCCTGTGCTGAACAACAGATCAATTTAAACTGGGAAAGAGCAGCATTTTGCTGTAGTCAGATCCAAATCATAAATACCATTTTGGGGAATTGTAGCTTTGTATAGTCACAAAGCAGCTGGTCATAAATTATAGGATCTCTATAATGCCCAATTCCTGAGTTTAGTTGGTTTTGGCTCAAGGTTGACTCAGCCTTCCAGCCTTCCAATTAAAATAAGGACTCAGATTGTTGAGGGCAATAAGTTGACTCCGTAAACCACTTAGAGAATGCTATAAAGCACTATGGAGCAGTGTATAAGTGTTACTGCTAGTGCTATCCTTAACCACAAGGTAGCCAACTGGATTAGTAGTATGTATGTTACATGTCAAACCACTAAGGAAAACCATTGTGTGGATGCAACTATGAGTCTTTGATCTGATCTGACTGAGGCTACCCTATTTTCTTTAACTCCAAGAATCCAGCAAGACTTGCATCTCCAGAAACAAAGTCACCAAAGTTTCAGCCAATTTTTTATTGCTTTTCTTGCAGAGATCTGTGGCACTCCTGGCTACTTGGCTCCAGAAATATTAGAATGTTCCATGGATTCAGATCATCCAGGTTATGGGAAGGAAATTGACATGTAAGCAAGATTGTGTGGCAAGTTTACTCATTATCCTAAACAGTGGTGGGATTCAAAAAAATTTACTACTGGTTCTGTGGGCGTGGTGTAGCATAGCTTGGTGGGCATGGCATGGCTTGGTGGGTGTGGCAGGGAAAGGATACTGTAAAATCTCCATTCCCACCCCACTCCAGGGGAAGAATACTGCAAAACCCATTCCCTCCCCACCCCACTAACCTGCTTTCCAGCTCCATTCTCCTGTGCAGGAGAACAAAAGAAGACTCAGCCAATCAGCTGTGACACGGGAGGCAGAGAATAGATGGGGACGGGGCCAGTCAGAAATGGTATTTGTCGGTTCTCTGAACTACTCACATTTTCCACTCCCGGTTCTCCAGAACTGGTCATAACCTGTTGAATACCACCTCTGATCCTAAGCCATAATTTGGGTTATTTGAGTTTAAGCAAATGGTATGTAAGTTTTGGATATTCAGAGGATGTAGTACAATTAATGATGTGCTAACATCATTAATTGTGGCTTATATCAGCAAATTGAGGCTTATATCAGTAATCAGCTTAGAATGTGAATCCTGCTATATTTATCCTAATGAAAAAGATAAATGTAACTTTTAGAGGAATTCACTTATTTCCCATCCAATCTTCTATAGCATTGTTTCTCAATTTTGGCAAGTTTAATATGTCTGGATTTCAGCTCCCAGAATTCCCCAGCCATCTTTCTGGCTGAGGAATTTTGGGACTTGAAGTTGCGAAAATCACTGTCCAAGGCTGCATAAACAGTGAGATAGAATCAGGATCATGTGAAGTGTTAATAACAGTTTATAATACCCTGGTAAGGCCATGCTTAGAACATTGTCCAATGTTGGTCACCACAATGTTAAAAAGATGTTGAGACTCTAGAAAGAGTTCAGAGAAGAGCAACCAGGATGATTAGGGGACTGGAAACTAAAACATATGAAGAACGGTTACAGGAACTGGGCATGGCTAGTCTAGTGAAGAGAAGGACGAGGGGAGACATGATAGCAGTGTTTGAGGAGCTGCTACAGAGAGGAGGGGTCAAGCTATTCTCCAAAGCACATGAAGGCAAGACAGATAACAGATAACAGATAATCAGAGTTGGAAGGGACCTTGTAGGTCATCTAGTCCACCCCCCCCCCCCGCCCAAGCAGGAGACCCTACACCATTTCTGACAAATGGCAGTCCAATCTCTTCTTGAAAGCTTCCAGTGATGAAGCTCCCACAACTTCTGAGGGCAAGCTGTCCATTGGTTGATTGTTCTCACTATCAGAAAGTTTCTCTTTATTTCCAGGTTAAATCTCTCCTTGTTCAGTTTCCACCCATTATTCCTTGTCTGGCCTACAGGCGCTTTAGAAAATAACTTGACCCCTTCCTCCCTGTGGCAGCCTCTCAAATATTGGAAGACTGCTATCATGTCTCCCCTGGTCCTTCTCTTCACTAGACTAGCCATGCCCAGTTCCTGCAACCGTTCGTTGTATGTTTTAGCCTCCAGTCCCCTAATCATCCTGGTTGCTCTTCTCTGTACTTTTTCTAGAGTCTCAACATCTTTTTTTTAATGTGGTGACCAAAACTGGATGCAGTACTCTAGGTGTGGTCTTACTAAGGCTTTATAGAGTGGTATTAGTACTTCCCTTGATCTTGATTGTATCCCTCTCTTAATGCAACTTAGGATTGCATTAGCTTTTTAGGCTGCTGCTGCACACTGCTGGCTCATATTTAGCTGGTTGTCCACTAAGACTTCAAGATCCCTCTCACAGTTACTGCTGTTGAGCCTGGTTTCACCCCAGTCTGTATGTCTACTATTGATTTTTCTTGCCTAAGTAACAAATGGAAACTAATCAAAGAAAGGAGCAACCTAGAACTGAGGAGAAATTTCCTGATAGAATAATTAATCAGCAGAAGAACTTGTCTCCAGAAGTTTGGGTGCTCCAATATTGAAGGTTTTTAAGAATAGATTGGACAACTGTTTGTCTGCTTGAGCAGGGACTAGAAGACCTCCAAGTTCCCTTCCATCTCTGTTATCCTGTTATTCTTAAAGTTGCCACAATTGAGAAACAATGTTCTATGGAGATGACTTTTCATCTCTGTCCATGTTACTGCTTTTTAAGATGCCAGTTTTCCCCAAAGCAGCCTTGCCAAAAATTATGCCCGCTTAATTTGTTGGATTATACCTTGCAGCAATCCATCCAGCAGTTGGTGTATTTGCAGCATCAATTGGGCAAAGAATAATTATTTTTTTAAGTACCAGCATATATAATTCTTTGCAACTAACAATTACAATATGTGGTATAATTGCTATTTAAATAAGACAATAACGATCATTAGTCTGCTTAAATATTTACCACTGACTGAGCTGGAAAAGAAGACAGAAAGACTGCTGCAACAAAGATGTTCTCCATCAAACTGCTTTTGTTTCCCTGTATTTAAAATATCCTGTTGTTAAAACAGTGGACAAAAATGTTCAGTCCGTCCTCCTGACAGTTTCCTTGTTTCAGGTGGAGTGCAGGAGTCATCATGTACACCTTGCTGGCCGGATCTCCTCCTTTCTGGCATCGGAAGCAGATGCTGATGTTAAGAATGATCATGAATGGAGATTACAAATTTGGGTCTCCTGAGTGGGACGATCAATCAGATACAGTCAAAGATTTGGTAGGTAACTTTCACCTGGATGGAATCCAGAGGCTATTGGAGAAAAATAAAGGAGAAAAATGCAGTGTAGAAAAAGATAAAAGTAATTGGAACACCAGATGATTAAGAAATTGACCCTAACGCCAAAAATACAGTACTTGGGCCCAATTGGGAAATGGTTCCCTTTTGTTTCTTGGTGTTCATTTTCCTGTCCAATGGGATTGTATGGGGGGGGGGGGTTGCTCTGAATAATTAGTATTAACCAGTGCTAGACTCGTTATGGTTTTCCACTGCATTCAGAAAACCAATGCCTCGGCTTCTGAGTCACAACTCTGTTCTTCTGCCTGCAGATTGCCCACTGTTTAGTGGTGAAGCCGCAGAATCGTTACACTGTGCAGGATGCCCTCACCCACCCCTTCTTCCAGCAGTACATGGTGGAGGAAGTCCGGCACTTCAGCCCCTTCCGGAAATTCCGGGTATCCCCAGTTGCAGAGAATTCTGGGAAAGGGATGGCCATTTTTCTCAGTAATAGCCAAGGATTGAGGGGAGGGGCAGGGGTGGGATTCAAAAAAATTAACAACCAGTTCTATGGGCTTGGCTTAGGTGGTGGGCGTAGCTTGGTGGTCATGTGACTGGGTGGAAATGGCTTGGTGGTCATGTTATTGGCTGGGTGTGGCCAACTCAATACCACTCACATCGAGGCATGCATCTTCTCGCCTGGCCTCTCATGACTATGGGGATGTTGTGAAAAATGGTCATAAGTCACTTTTTCAGTGCCATTGTAACTTTAAATGGTCACTCCACACAAGCAAAGGAGGGGGAAAAAGCTCCAGAGAAGTTCCTGAGACAGGAAGTCTAGTCCTGCCAAGAATGTAATAAGGGTTAACAGAGAGGCAGTTTCTGTAAGCAACACCAGAATGTTTCCTTCCTGCCTTTCTTACAGGATTAGGCCAGTAATTTCTTCTAACAACCGGTTCTCTGAACTGCTTAGAATGTTAACAACCGGTTCTAGCACATAGGTGCAAACTAGTAGAATCTCACCCCTGGGGAGGGGAGAGTCAACAAAGTCAAGAGGATTACAGTTGAAGCTGTGCCCTTTTTCTATGTGCCATGGATATAAAATAGATATGGGCTTAGATTGTGCAACTCCTGCCCAACATCTTGACTTTTTTGACCTGCCCCATGGATGTGCCTGCTGATGACTCTGATCAAGGTTTTTTTTAAGTGGGAAAGGGGGAGGCTAAGTCAGGGGTTGTTGTGGGACCTGCATGAATCATGCTGCTGGGCTGCTTGACCCTAACCCAACAAGATACATTCACACAATATGTTAAACCATTGCATGTTCCTTAGTTTTGTTTCATTGCATTGTGGAAGGTTGTGATTTATTCAGCACATGAATTAGGCTTGAGTATCTTGCCCAGAATTGGTAAATAGCAATATATTAATACATATTAAACATACATTAAGTGTGTTGTCATATAAAAAAAAATAAAGTTCCTCCTGGAAAACCTGAAAGACCAGGTTAGGGACAGATTGTCACCGTCAAAAATCTATCTCTGTGGTTGCTAAGAGTTAACACCAACTTGAACAATTTGTATCCATTCATCAGTACATTCCAGTCATGGGTTTCTTCCCATCAGGTTTGTATAACAGCAACTGTGTCATACCTGCCCTTGTCTACTATTGCTTCTTGTTCCCTGTTTGTTGCCCAAGCTTTGAGCATTTATATGTAAGCATTTAAGACCTTTATGCTTGTCCATGGGTATGTTTCCTGCCTCTCCTAATTGTTGTTTGAGTTTTTCTCTTTTCATCCCTCCCTACCTCATTTTTGGTTTTTCTTGGGATTTATGATTGGTTTTGTGTTTCAGATAGTCTAAAGATTAGTCACCCGCCCCCTTCAATTTTAGTTTAAAGCCCTTCTTGATGGCACATAAACAAATTAGGCTTAAATGGGGGAGAGTTATTGGTGACACAGGTTTTTTTGAAACTCAAACCATTGCTTACCATGTTTTATCCAGTTATTCAGTTATCACATTCTAAAGTAGTGGTATTTATTTATTTGAGCATAGCATAATATAGCAGCACTGAGAGTTAACTTGAATTTAATGTGATGTGTGAACCCGACCACAAACTCAGAGGTAAAGAATTGGACCAAAAGCATTCTGTATATAAAAACAGCCTCCTTTTTATTGACAGTGGCTTATTCCTGGTGAATTAATGCATCTTTTAAAACAGGGGTGTCAAACTCACGTCACGGCAGCGTCACATGATGTATTGGAACTTTCCCCCTTTGCTAAACCAGGTGTGGGCGTGGCCAGCGCGTGACGCATCTGGCCCACAGGATGCGAGTTTGATATTCCTGCTTTTAAAGAAAAAAAAAGAACCACAAACCAATCAGATATAAAGCAGTGGTGGGATTCAATTTTTAAAAAATTTCTGTGGGCATGGCTTGTTGGGCGTGGCCTGGCTTGGTGGGCATGGCAGAGGAAGGATACTGCAAATCCCATTCCCTCCCCACCCCACTAACCTGCTTTCCAGCTCCATTCTCCTGTGCAGGGCAACTAAAGAAGACCCAGCCGATCAGCTGGAACTTGGGAGGCAGAGAAAAGATGGGGGCGGGGCCAGTCAGAGGTGGGATTTGCTGGTTCTCTGAACTACTCAAATTTTTTGCTGCTGGTTCTTGAGAACTGGTCAGAACCTGCTGAATACCACCTCTGCTTTAAATATGTCAGTCTAACAAACATCTCTTCCTAGGTCATCTGCCTGACTGTCCTGGCCTCAGTTCGGATCTACCTCACCTACCGCAACATCAAGCCGATCACCCAGGATGTGCTGCAGCGTGACCCTTATGGGCTGAAGCCAGTCCGCAAAATGATCGATGCGTGCGCCTTCCGGATCTATGGCCATTGGGTGAAGAAAGGAGAAGCTCAAAACAGAGCTGCCCTCTTTGAAAACACTCCCAAAGCCATCCTGTTCAGCTTGGCTGCCGAAGAGGAACTTCTCTGATTTCCAAGATCTCCAGGAAGAAAGCCCTTCAGTCTTTGGCAAATCTTCCTAATTGAGATGAGCATGATCCCAACACATGTGCAGAGTTCAACTCCCACAATTCCCCAGCCAGCAAAGATGGAAATGAAATAGCAAAGGGTAAAACTGAATACAGGCCAGAATGCCTTTTTATTAAGTGCCTTATTATTATTGGTTGCACAGTCAGGCAGATGTTTAGACTGGATCTGGTATTTTTGTTTACCAGTTACAGGTAGCCTTTGACTTACAACCGTTCATTTAGCAACTGTTTGAAGTTATAACAGAACTGAAAAAAGTGACTTGCAACTGGTCCTGGCACTTAAGCCATCACAGAATTCCTACTGTCATGTGACCAAAATTCCAGCGCTTGGCATGTTTAGTCACCCAGTTTGGATAGTGAGATGGGCGGCATCTAAATTTAATAAATAAATAAGATTTAATAAATAATGATGATTGCAGCAGAGCCAGGTAATATGATAACCAATTCCAGTCAGTTTTCAAAAAGCAAACTCAATGGAAGAAGCCCAATTCGTTTAACAACGGTAGTGATTTGCTTAACTACCATAGCAAAAAGTAAAATTGGGCATGAGTTGCTTAACAACCGCTTTGCTTAGCAATGGGAATTTTGGTCTTAATTGTGATCTTAAGTTGAGGACTACTTGTATTATTTCTGAAACCTGTGAGATCTAAGGATAATGATCTAAGGAATGTGAAGCTGCACTACCACATCATAGGGCTAATTCCCACCCGTGACGGTTTCTCTACCCCTCCGAAGGGCTTTTAACAGTCATAGGATGAAATATCCAATAGGGTCCTTTTTCCAAGAAGTCGTCTCTCGTCCCAAGACTCTGTGGTTGCTTTGAGGCTGAAAACTTATCTTAAGAGACTCACAAGCTTTTGTACTTGTTTTTAGGCTGCCAATCCCTTCCTTAACATGGTGTTAAAAAACGATGGACAAATTTATTATAAGTACGTGGATCCACCATGTTCAGCACAGTTTGTCTTATTTATTTTTTTGAAAGGAAACATTGGAGAAAGTGGGGATATCTGCTTGTGGGCTTTCCTGTTAGTGTTAGATTCAGGATGCTGGGTTAGCACGTTTTAGAACCCAAATCTTCCAAAGTATGAGGGATGTCTTTGGCATGATGTCTGAAATGGGACTTCCGTGTTTCAAGCCAGCCTATTTCTGAATGTCAGTTATTGTGGATTGCTGGGGTGGGTGGGTGGGAGAGTTGCTGTCGTTGCTTCACTGATGTACTATATGCTAAGATCCAGGTTGCCATTACTGCAATGAAACACGTCCCAATCCAGCAGAAATAGGCAAAGAAAACATCTAATATAAGCAGTTCCATAATCTGTAACAAGGAAGATGATAGATAAATATTAATGTATAGCTGAGTTAGGTTAAGGATTCTCAGTCATCCAGGTAGTTGTCCATAGTAGTAGTCAACTACTACTGGACTTCTTGTTTTTGTTGGTTCAAAACATTTTGTTGCTTATTCAAGTAGCTTCTTCAGTCTGAGCAAGTTGATTAGGGGGACCACATATATGTCCTCCAACCCATCCTGGAGGACATATATGGAGTCCCCCCTAACCAACTTTAACTTTAACCTAGGACTAAGGAGAAATTTCCTGAAAGTTAGAACAATTAATCAGTGGAACAACTTGCCTCCAGATGTTGCTGGTGCTCCAACACTGAAAGTTTTTAAGAAGAGATTCAACAGCCATTTGTCTGAAATGGTATAGAGTTTCCTGCCTGAGCAGGGGGTAGACCAGAAGATTCCCAAGATCCCTTCCGACTCTGTTATTCTATTATCTTGCTCAGAATGAAAAAGATACTTGGACAAAACGTTTCAAATCAACAAAAAGAAAAGAAATCCAGTTGCCATGACTCAACTCCACATAGATGTCTTATGGAATTATTTATTGCAGCTGCATATAAGAACATGATCTTTAAAAAGATATTTAACAAACAATAAAATGTGCTTTATTTATTCAGATTGAATTGAATTGTGATATGTGGATATATTCTCAAATTTCATCCAAAGTTGATAGAAACTTATCCCAAATTAGTCATGATCCTGTCTCACTTAAAACTACTGCAGACTCGTGCTGGAGGGGAGGGGAGGGGGGAAATTATAAGCGTATATATATTATATATTATAAGGTTTTTGGAAGGGATCTCAAAATCCAAAGAATTAGTGGCTGGATTATGACATAGTGCTAAAACCACAATATGATTTGTTTGGTTTTGGTTTACAGTGTTGTGTAAAGAAAGCCAACTCTGGTTTAAACAATATTTCAAAAAAAGAGGGTGTGTGTGTGTGGGCAGTGTCAATGACATCACAGCACCCACACCATGCCCCTTGTGGCTCCTAGGCAAAGTGAGGGCCAAAAAGGTTACTCATTCTGGCAAACCATGACTTTGTTAACGATGGTTTCTTAAATTAATCAACCAACACAACATGCTGGTCACAAGCTATAGCTTGCAAATCTTGTTCAAAAATGCTAAACCAAAATGCTGTTCAAAATGCTATACCAAAAACAAATACTGTACATGGCTTAGAGAAATGAATGAGCCCAGACAATCTCAGTTTAGGTAACCCAATGGTTTCCTGCATAGGATTGTTCCAGAATGAAACCAGTAAACAATGCGTATCCTTATTACAAGTAGAAAGGTTTTGTTCATTTTTAGCTTTCAAGCTAAAATTTTTGATTTTTATCAAAATCAGGCAAAAAATACCCAAAGTCTGGCCAAGAAAGATGCAGGCTGACCCATCTCCATAGGAGAAAAGATCTGGGTCTTTTTAGAAGAGTTTAATGTTGGCTTCAGAGTTCAGCCTTTTTGCCGACAGCTTCCTGTGCTGGTTGCTTGATGAGGCTGGTGGCACATCGGAAGCTCAAGTTGTCTGAAGAAGAATCGGGAGTGTTCCCCATCCTATGGATTAAGAGGAACAAAGTTTGTCTTAGTAGAAAGTCTCCTCGGTCATCTGGCCCAAATCCAGAGCTACTTCAGCCTTCCAAAAATTTCCTCTTCCCATATTTTATAACCAGAACTCTGCCTGGGAAATTCTAGAGGTTGCAATCTAAATACACTTGAAAAATGCCAGAGTGGGGAAAGTGGGATTTAGTTCATTCAATCAGTTTACTCTTGGTGAGTTTAAAAAGGAATTCCACATTAATTAAGCAATGGTAAACATCAACATACATTTAAATGTTTATTTAATGGGGATCATAAATTGCAAAAAGGATTGTTGTGACCTGTTGGCTGCCGGCCCCTCCGGCAGCTGAATCAGATGAGGAGGTGGCGGCGGCATGGGAGTCAGGGGCCAGCATCATGGCAATCTGAGAGCTCTGAGGGGAAAGAGGGAATGGAGCTGGCAGAGAGAGAGAGAGAGAGAGAGAGGCAGAGCCTGGGCCGTCTGTCAGTTCTCAGATGGAGAGTCAATAGCTCCCAGTCTGGAGGTGGCTGATGAGGAAGAGGAGGAACAGCTGGGTCCAGTCAGTGCCTGATGCACAGATGCGCAGAAGGCAGAGAAGAGGAGAGCAGCGGAAATCTATGGGCCAGTCCTTGGGATGGAAGAGCCACCACTGCTAGCTCTGAGGATAAAAGGCAGGGGGCGGAGATGATTAGGTGTGGCAGACAACTATTCATCTCCCTGCTGGTCAGTCACTGATAGCCTGCACTTCTGAATCCTGTCTGGAAATTATCAGAATTCTTCTTGGAATCTGCAGCGCCTTCTGAGAGAGAGAGAGAGAGGGAGGGAGGGAGGGAGAGAGAAAAGGGAAAGAGAGAGGGAGGGAGGGAGAGAGTCTGCTGCTGGAAGAAAATGAACTGCACCTTCCAGAACTTCTTTTGCAAGTGTGGAAAAAGAGAGAGAGAGAGAGAGAGTCTCCTGGTGTGTTAGGGCCAGTTTAGGGGGAAAGGGAGTGAGTATCACTTTCCACAGGACTTCATAGTCTCCTGTGAGAGAGCGGCTGCTGGTGCTCCTAACAAAGGGAACATTTCAATACTTGTCTGGAGCTGGAAGCAAGGATGCATTCTTGCTTTTTCAATCTCTTCTCCAGCTGTCTGGAGTTTGTATGGCCAATCTCAAGATCTCTCCTTTCTGAGGAATTTTCAGTGGTCTGAATTCAGCATCCAGCTTCAGTTTTCAGTCATAATGTCTCCTGTTGCCAGTGGAATGTCAGTTAGTTTTTTCATCACCAGAAATCTTGGCAGCCCTGGCTACTTTTGACAAATGATATAAGCAGCATCATATTATTATACCAAATGCCTATGTGATGTTATGACACATATACAAAATGGACAGGACTTGCTACACAACGGTATACTGTTGCTGTTGTCAGACTGATGGCTGCTGCTGATTGTGTTTGTCCAGTATACTATAAGTTTTAAATTCTGGAGGAGAAGATGCTGATAAGATGTCACCTGCCAGCATACCTGGTTGTAACCTGAGCTTTGTGATTGGCAGAGCCATCCACTGTATCAATCCAGGATGCTCCTCGCAGGACACGCATCTTTTGACCTGGCTGGCGGGATGCAGGACCATTCGGATGGTACTCTGAGGATGTCCATTCCCAAGTATTTCCTAGCAAATCGTATAAGCCTGTGATAACAGCAAAGACAGTAATTCACTTGGGGAAGCCTCCAACCAGCCTGCACAGAAATATACGAGCCTTGGAAGATCAGAAAGGAAAAGAACAAATAGACAGAAAAATGTATCTACAAGGTTTGTGAAAAACTGATGCTGGCATATTTTCTAGAACTAAACCTGCATTCATATCACAAACTCAATTGCTGGTCTGGAATGAAGATTCCAGTCCAGGTAGTCCTTGCATAGCAATTACAATATGGACCAGCAGCTCTGTCACTAAGCAAAATATCAAGTAATTGTGTTGGATTTATGTCATTTCCATTAAGTTAATCACTTGTTGTCATTGTGACATCACTTAACCATAACTTGCAATTTTACTGCAAGTTCTCCATTGACTCTGCTTGTCAGAAATCAGCTTTGAAGCATAAAAATTGTGATCATGTGATCACAGGATACTGCACAACCATACGGTCAAGAACTGGTCAAAAAGCTACTTTTTCTTGGGCCATTGTAACTTTGAACAGACATTTAACAGGACGTTGTAACATGCAACTATGTGTTAGGAAGACAATTTAACTTCCTAGAGAGGGGACCTTGAACTTTCAAGAACCTTTACTTAAAATGCTTTCTATTCCACACCAGCATCCATAGACTGACCAGTTCCAATGATTACGACCTGTAATCTTACCATAGTTATTCTGAGGAGGAAATGCTGCCACTGGGGATGCTCCACGAAAGCCATCTTCAGCTGTGTCAACTTTGGGGAAGTTGCCCTATGTAGACAAAGGGAAGTAAATAAGTGAACAACCAAGATAAATAAAAGACAACAAATCCAAACTGGGTGCCAAAATTCAGGTGTGTGTGTCATAGTTCAAGAGTAGCCTTGAACAGCCCATGAAACAATGAAATGGTATAATTGATTAACAGTTTATGTGTCATCAAATTATTAAAATTTAGTAACTCGATAGATAGATCTCTCACCTACTTACCTACCTACCTACCTATCTATCTAAGCTTTTATCCCAAGGCAGTAACTCCACTGAATTCTACTGTATAGTGCAATATTAATGCAATATCAGAGGTTTTCAATCCAATGTATAGAATGTGAAGGATGTGTGTTTCTGTTTATTTTCAGTCATAATGTACACTGAAGATGGTATTTAATTTTGTTGTATGAGGTGCAATGACAATAAAGTAAACAAAACTAAACTATCAAAGAGGGAGAGGAGGAGAGGGAGAATAAATATACAGGCTGCACATCTGACAATATGACTTCAGGCAGCTAACAATTAAAACAGAGTACAAGAAAATAAAAAGCAATCAGAATAAAAAAATATAAAAGTACCAACTGAGAATGCTGACAAACAAGCTATGAAAAAGGCTCCTTCATACAATCAGGATCTCCTAGACTTGATGGCAGAGCCGGGCTTCTAGTGGCTTGTGAAAGGCCATCAGGTCAAGCCAAGTCTAATTTCTAGAGGAATGATGTTCCTGAGGGCATCCTGCAGATGGATCTTCTCCAGGACTTTCTGTCCCCAACCTCATCCTTCAGCTATTCCAAAAATGTACCCATTGCCACAACAACTGATTCCATCCATTTCATCATTCCTCCCCACCCCCACCCCACTTTCTCTTCACTTTCCCAATATTGCAGACTTTTTCACAGAGCTAGGGCTTTGGATAATGTGCCCAAAATTTGATTAATCTCAGCCTGGACATTTGTGCCTCAAAGTGCAGGGTGTAACCAGCAACAAAGTATAAAGGGATGATCATGCAGATAAAGAAAAGTCTTGGCCATGTGGACATATGCACATGTGGAAGAAAAGAATCTAGGACTGTGAAATGGTCTAGGACAGTGTTTTTCAAAATTGGCAACTTTGAGGTGTGTGGACTTTAACTCGCATAATTCTCCAGCCACCAGATATATGAAATGGGCAGCCTATACACTTATTCCCTTGACAGCCGAAGTGGTAAAAGAGGAAGAAAGAAGAAGAGGAAGCCTATACATTTATTAAATTCCTTATATGCTGACTGGGGAATTCTGGGAATTGAAGTCCCCATGTCTTAAAGTTACCAAAGCTGACAAACACTGGTTTACACACAGGAATAGCCTTGAATTGGGATCAAATGATTCAAAAAGAAAGATTGGGAGTGCTTATTGTTATTACTTAAGAAGGGTTGCAATGGTATAGGATTGGATGCTTTTACTGAATTTTGCTTCTGGATTTGATTATATCATCACACTTTCTGCAGTGTGGTTATAAATAGATATGGAATTTTTAAGGAAATTAAACACAATGCATATCAGTGTTGCTATTTTATTGAAGCCAAGTCACATGAATTTTATACAGGAGCAATATAATCCCCTCATTTTGCATATTAAATATGGATATTTCAAATCCCTATTTACTGTCAAGACTACATACCTACTACTACTTACCTGCCAGAGGTTAGTGCGGTTGGCTAAAAATTTGTTTCCCCAAGGATACAATCTGTCTAACAAAAAGGGAAAGAAAAAAATAAAATGGTAATGTCAATTCACTCTATCAATTCTAAACATGCCCATTTCCTCCCTTCAACCATTGACCCTGGAGTAGTCTTTAATATCAAACATTTAAAAAGCATGTGGATTATTAAAACCTGAATTCCTAAATACACTATTTGGATAGCATGCTTAGGGTTGTTGGTGTATATGCCCATTGTGCGCTTGTTTACTCCCTTGTAATCCTTTCCTCTCCAATCTCTCCACTCTGCAAAGGGAGAGAAAAGCCCAATGCTAGCTGGGAAATTCTGAAAGTTGAAGTCACACATCTTAAAGTTGTTAATAGAGAAACATTACTGTACACCGCCTGCCTGGATTAACAGGACAATAATCTTGATTGACATCAATGCTTCCCAAACCTGGTAAATTACCCAAAATTAGATAAAAGTGGCTTTTCTTTGGCTAACAACATACAAATCCATTACCCAATTATGAAGAGACATTTAAAGTGACTTAAAATGTTTTACGTACACTGGGTAAAAAGGGTTTTCTGATAAGGGGTTTTGGGTAGAAGAAAAAGTTTGGGAAACAGTGATCTAGATGCTAGGGTGATGGATCTAAGACCACTTTGGTTCCTTGCTTACGTACTCTCCAGGCCTCCCCTTGCAGCAAACTCCCACTCCTCTTCTGTTGGTAGCCTCTTCCCTTTCCATTTGCAAAAAGCTTGAGCATCATTCCAGCTCACGTGCAACACTGGGTAGTCTAGCTTGTCTTTGATGCTGGATCCAGGACCTGAAGGCTGAAGATGGAAAAGAATTCTAGTTATTTAAGGTATTGTTTTCCATTTCTTCTCTTTAAAAAGGCTCTCAGAATGCCTTGCAAATCTTTGTACAGTAGTGAGATGCTTTCTGTTGCTCAAGCTTATAATCTAAACCAGGGGTCGCCAACCTTTTGGACCTCAGGGATCACCAATCTCATAATTTTAGATCCCAGGGACCACTAACTGGTTCTGTGGGTGTGGCCTAATTTGTGGTGGTCATGTGACTGACTGGGCATGGCTTGTATGTAAATATTATAAATATTTATATAAATATTGACTTTTTTTTATAAAAAAAGAGCAACTTTTACCCAAAATCAGGCAAAGCAGGCAGGCAGATTGAGTTGCTCACAGAATCGCAGATTCATTCAGAGATCTATCTATTTGCCATCGGCTAGCTCAGTCTGTCACATAAAATTTGCTTGCAAGCAAGCTCACAAAATTAACTCACAACACACCATGCATATAAATATTGAATTTTTTATTTAAAAAAAGAACAGATTTTACCCAAAATCAGGCAAAGCAGGCAGATCGAGTTGCTCACAGAATAATTCAATTATCTATCTATCTATCTATCTATCTATCTGCCATCGGCTAGCTCAGTCTCTCAAATTTGCTTGCCGTGAGTCTGCACTGAATTTGCTTGCAAGCAAACCTTCAGTCCTAAGGGAGGTTCGGCTGTACTTAAAAGCAGAGCCAAGGATCTAAAGACTAGCTGGAAAGCAAGAAATCCAACCATTTCCTGCTTCCTAGCTAATCTAAATCTCCGGGCACAGAGAACAGATGATGGTGGGAAAAAGGAAAAATAGAAATTTAGCAGACAAGTTTACTGGGTAAGGAGTGTGTGGGCAGGGAGGGTTCTCACGGGCCATGTGGGCGGCGCAGCACTTGTGTTTCTGTGCAGCCTGGATTAATTGCTTTGGGGGGTTGCTCTTGGGGTGAGATTTCTCTGCTGCCCACCAAAATTTTTTGGTTGGCGACTGCTGATCTAGATGACATGACACATAAGGAATCAGGACAAAGAGGGGAGAGGAAAAACAAACTCTGTTGTTATCACAACTAACTGAGAAAGAATTTGGGTAATTTGATGGAATGACAGCCAGTTAAGAGGCAGCTGGCAAAAATATCAAAGATTAGCTTTTCTAAAGGTCAACAAAGATAATCTTTCATCAATTTATGAGATAAACAAGGGCAAATTCAGCATGGATCTTCCTCATATACTCAGCCAATTTAACATCTGCATATCCCAAGGAGTTTATAATTGTTTTTTGACCAAACTAGATCATCAACCCATGTGATCTGGCTTCTCCACCATAGACCAGACTAGTTTCTTGGATTTATTCATTCCCTTGGGGGTTTCTGGTTCTCTCAAATCCCTAAATTAAATTTGCATGTCTGAAAAGCTACTGCAAGGCAGGGTCTACCAACATTTTCAGGTGCCAGGTGTTCAAAGACAGATTAATTAATTCAATGTCCAAACTACCTTAAGACATCATTAGTCTCATCCTCAAAGATCTTGGGCACACTCAACTAGAAACAAAAACACCACATAATTTCTTACTAGGAATGTCATTAAAATCTAAAAAAATAATAATCACATTTTCACAGGATGTGGTGAACTCCTGAATCTTTTTCCCCTTTGAAAAGGACTAATTTTCAAATGTCATCTGGGGAGCCTGAAGATACCATGTAAGGGCACTGTGGATTTTCTAGTGCTGGCAAAAACATTTGGTGCGTTTTCTATTGGCAGGGTACGCAGAGGGCCCCAACTAATGTTATTATGCATCTTGGATGTCAGCCTAGCCTGTCCTGTATCCAGTATGGTTCACTAATCAACACTGTAGTACCCAAATCATGTCTCTGATAACATCTATATTCCTCTTGTCCTCTAGTAAAGACTCACCTGTCTCCAAAATGCCTTCTCAATTGGAAGCCACCATGGTGCAGACTAAAGGAAAAAATAAAAGTAGAATGAAATCAACAATAAAAAAAATCCGAATTATGAACTGTTCCCTTCTTCACCAAAATAACATGCATTTGTCCCCCATTTTTAGAACAACATTGGAAAGACAATCCTTTTTAAAGGAAGAAGGATGGTGTAAATTTGACCACAAATCTTGGTTCATGAAAAAGCCCATTTTAATGATTTATTATGATTTCAGATACATTGGAAGGTGTTGTAATGTTGGTTGCTAAGATCACTAAAGCTGAAATTGTTGCTCAATAAAGATACAGAGCCCTAAGGACTTGGCATGCCAAACTAGAAGCAACAGAAGATATATGCAATAAGAAATCAAAGTTATACTTTGCAGGCTGAAGATTTCAGATCACAAAACTTTAGGCAGGCTCGCTGAAAAGTTGCCACTTTCTGCCAAGCTATAGAAGCTACTTTAGGTGAGATAGATCGACTCACTTCATGACAGTTCATGTGAGAATTATAGTTTCCTAGAATTTATTACTTGTAGCTTCTCTCCTTGTTAAATCACACTCTGGACACTCACACTATTTCTCAATACTTGACTGATCCATTTACTGATGTAAATTGGTGCTGAGTAATCTATGAACTGTAAAACTTACTGGAGTTTGGAACCTTGAAAGGCAGGCTGATCAAAATCACCCCTTTCTCCCAAATACTGAAAAGTGGCCCTTTACCTCTAATTTTTGCGTCACTTTCTTTTTAAGCTCTTCTGAGACAAAATTCTCAAAGACAAAACTCCAGTCAAATTTCTCAGCTTCCGTTTTGTATTTCTGGTCCTTCACGAATTCCCTGTGTCCAAAAGATAAAACGGATTTCCTAACCAGCCATTTTTGGAGATCTCTTGACAATTTTGTGGCTGGGGGCTTCGGCTTTTAAAATTCAGGCAAGAGAAAGGTACAGGGGATGTGATAATGATGTGCTGAAATCACCCGGAATGGGGACTGAATTGATGGTGCCCTATTGTTTTCATTTGTCACTTTTATACATTTACACAGTGTACAATACGTCTAGTTCTTTCTATTCCCATAAAACATCAGTGGGAAAGTGCACTGTTTTTCATAATGATATTCTGAAAATAAAGCAACTAGTAAATCCAGGGTATGAAGAAATTTGCACAGACAGAAGGTTGGCACTGAGGATGTTATTGTTCTTTCTTAACTACTAAATAAATTGTTCCCGAATTGGACTTTGCCACAAAATAGCTGTATCAGAAATTTACCTTCCCTAACATTCCATCAACCACAGATCTGTGCTCTATTTACACCACCCAGCTAAGACAACCCTTCATGCATGATTCTAATCCTCACAAGTATCATCCCACAATGTTTTATTGCAGTCTGAGGTGTAACTTTGAGGAGTTTCTGAACAAAATAGTGCATAGTTCTGGCCTTCCTGTAAAGTTTGTTTCCTCATCTGGTCTACATTGAAGGGCTGACCTGGAATTGTTAGAAAGCTGTAAGTTGTGAATGGTAGTGAACATATTGTATTATTTAAGTAAGAGAGAAACCACTGCCAGTCAAAAACTATGTACAGCTAATGTGGGATGTGAACTTTACCTGAAGTCTTTGTTGGTGACCGGATACTTGTCCATAAGGAATGGTTTGATTGTCCTGAGGGATCTGTCTTCATTTTTACCATTCAATATGCTGGTTCTAATTTCCAATTTCCCACCAGGCAGCTGTACTGTTTCATCTTTCTCGAAAACTGAGAGTAGAGTTAAAATTAGCAGCAAGAATGTTAGGGAATAGCAAAGAATGAAGGCAAATATACGTGCCCCAGGATAATGTTGCAGGATCCAATCTGGATTGGTCACCAGGAGCAGAGGTTTCTTTAGTCTTATGAGCTTTCTCACATTCTGGTGAGAGAATTTCCCTGAGGATGGGTTCTACTTCTAGCATGACCCCAGTCCCAATGACCAACCCAGATTGAATCCAGGAGCAAAGAAGAACGAAGGAAGGAAAGGTAACAGCTGGATTCACAGAAGGCTCCAAAGGTATTGGCATTTTGTGATCCAAACATCATGGAAAAACTTCCATGACTTTTAATTTGCTGTTCAAATCAGCCATCATATAAAACTAGGACTTGGTTTATCGGGCACAACATATTATATGAACACAATAATTAAGTTTTGCTAATCTAGGGTTATGGTCTAATGTATGTGTGAATATTGTTTATACGTCAGGAGTCCAAATTTTGAGGACAGTCATAGGAAGTCTTTTTGAGGAAGAAAGAAGAAGAAATTATAGGAAAAAAATAAAACAGGAACCACTCAGTATACTCAGTTCTCATATTTCTAAAAACATGAAAACTTGAACAAATGAGAAAGCACAATCTCATGTGTACTTTCCCCAACATTCCCTATTTTCTTCTTTGAATCAAATGCTATAACTATTCCAAACGACAGTATTGTACTTTTTAAAAGCAAGAATTTGAAATACCTTTGCACATTATACATTCTGCTTTTGCTTTATCATTATCTATTTGGATATTGCTATTTTACCAACTGTCCTGCATCGATAAAAAGACAGAATATAAACCAAATTAATAATAAAAATACTTATGTTACATTATTTATTCTGTAACTTGGGCAACCTCCATCCAAAAATCATTTAACACAATTCAGACTACAAAACTTCCAAGTGGAAAGGTTTTGTAGCATGTCATGAAAAAAAAAAAGGAATTTCCTTAAAGTTATACCCTTTGGAAACACATTATTGAGTACATTCTGAATCAGAAGAGTTGAAAGGGACCTTAGAGGTCTTCTAGTCCAGCCCCCTACTCAAGCAGGAGACCCTATATCATTTCAGACAAGTGACTGTCCAGTCTCTTCTTAAAAACCTCCAGTGATGGAGCACCCACAACTTCCGAACACAAGCTGTTCCACTGGTTAATTGTCCTCAGTGTTAGGAGGAAGTTTCTCCTTAATTCCAGGCTGCTTCTCTCCTTGATTAGTTTCCATCCATTGTTTATGCTGCCTTCAGATGCTTTGAAAAATAAATTGACCCACTCCTCTTTGTGGCAGCCTCTCAAATACTGGAATATTGCTATCTCTGCTTGCATACAGAGCTGTTTTCCCCATAACGGTGCACTAAAAGCTGAACGCCGTGATAAAATCATTAATTTTTGTAGGATTCGTAGGGTGCTCCCTAATTTTGCTGCATTTTTTTACTTCACTGTAACAGCCTAAAAATCTGGAAATGATGGTATGTTGCACCACCCTTCCTTCTGATGGATCCCAATTTAATTCTAATGGGAATTCAACAGGCACAGCCCTAAGCATGCCCGTCTGTGTCTAAAGCAAGTTCCGCTCTATTTTGAGGAATTATTTCTCGGCCTCGAGTCTTGCTGGCAAAAACATTCTCGGGGAGGCGTTTCCAGGGTTTAGCACCCGGCTGCCCACAAAGAGAGCATTTAACCGTTCGACCTCCGGGGGGGAAAGGAGAAGAAGCTGCGGCGGGGACTCACCGGGGTGCTCCGAACGGCTCCCGGTCACCGCCCAGGGCGACAACAGGACGGGCAAGAAACTCGCGAGCAAGGCGGGAGAGAAGAACATTGACACGGGGAGAGGAGAGGACGATCCCTTCGGCCCCTTGGCAGCCATTTGCAGCGAAGCAGCCGGGCACGGCGATTGCTTCCGGGGTCGACAGGAGAGACACACACGTGTAGGGGCAGCTGCGAACTTCCTTCATTTCGCAAACTGCCTGGGTTAGTTTCGCGTCGGATTTTGTCGGTGGGGGAGGACTCCGCTCCTCTCCCTCTTTTTATTCGAAATAGTGCTGGTCTTAAACCCGGAGGAAGAGAAAAACCATCTTGGGATGATTGATGGCTATTGGAATCTTCTGTCTCCGAAAGGATATTTATTTTATTATATAAATATTATAATATTTTAAATAAACAGTTCATGAAAGGTTCTCATTTTATTAACCAGTTTGAACAAGCCACACTTGACTCAAGTCAAAAAGGAGCAAACAATATAATTTTGGGTGCCTGAACTAAGGCCTTGTCCCGAGTTAAAGCTGATTTAATCCTTAGTCAGCTTTTTTTGCAACTTTAATTGCATTAATATATACATTTGTTTTTCCTTTTGAAAGAGGATTACAGACTGGTGGGTATTTCTGAATGCCTCAGGATTCTGAGTTTTGCAGTTGCCTCCATTCTGATGTAGTCTGGGGTGTGCAGGAAATGTGGCAGCATACAGCAGATTTAGGAAAGGAGGGCTTAAGGTGATTAGCATTCCATTTTATTTTGTAGTTGCGGTACTTGGCTTCCTTCCAGTGCTTGAAGTAACAAATATAGAGCTCATCTGCTTTCTGCCATCCTACTGTTATTTATACATCAAAGTGATAGAGCAACTCATTTTTATTTGCATAGTGTAGTAAATCCATGAACAGAAAATACCTGTTTTATAAAGCTACTCAAATTAATCCTTTGCAGGGGTGTCTAACTGGCAGCTCGCAGGCTGGATGCCTCATTCACCCCAGCTGTGAAAGGGGAAAAATATTGCAAAATGTCATGTGACGGCAACATGACACAGCAAGTTTGACACCATCTTTAGAGAAATCACTGCCTAATTCAATCATTACACTGCAGTCAACAAAGCCTAGTTAATCCTTTTTATAGGCCAAAGTAGAGACCAGATTTTTCTTTGCAATCTTCCCATTCTCACTTAAATCAGGGGCCACTGAAAAATAATGCCTTCTCCGCTATAGCTGAGCCCAGTATCAGCAAAATCAGTGCTACAATGCTATGAAAATTGGGGAATATGGTAAATGCTCTATTTAATATAGTAGTGAGCAAGGGTTGAGTAACCTAACCCTCAGTGGCAAGATGTCTCACTTTTGCCTACCCGAATATCCCAACGCATTATACCCACTGCCTGCCTCCCAAGCCCCTTTCCAGCACCTCAGCTGACACCCCAGTGCAGCATTTTGTCCATTAAACTAGAGCCTTTCAAGAAAAATGGCAAAAATGCATCTCATTCGCCAGGCTTTTAATTTCAAACTACTTTTTAACACCTTGATTTTAATTCAATTATTTTATATTTGTAATGCACCACCTTGAATGCATGTATAAAAAGATAATTATGCTTTTTCTGGCAATATGTGCCATATAATTTCATACCAATAATGCAGTGGAAACTATGGGTGACATGGTGGCCTACTGGAGAAGATGCTCACCAGCCACTTGGAAGGTTGAGTTCAATCCTAGGTAGTAGCCAATGTTTCTTTCCTAGGGCGAGAAGAAATGTCTGCTGCAAACTCCCATGTGGTATCAGGAAGGGCATCTGGCCAGTAAATGCTCAGCTCCATCTAAGAGATTGGACTGCCATTTGTCAGAAATGGTGTAGGGTCTCCCGCTTGGGCGGGGGGTTGGAGTAGATGATCTACAAGGTCCCTTCCAACTCTGATTATCTGTATCTAATCACCCTGGCTCTACCAGGAAGGGATTACAGGGTCATAAAAAGGGTGGGTTTTTTTTTATACAATGGGAACTATAGAAATTGATATAAACAATGAGTATTATTAAAATAACCACACTCAAGTCTGAAGAGATGGCAAAACTTTAATGGGTAGAAAGACAGTAACTTCAGATGCATTTGTTCAGTGCATGTAAAAAATAAATAGTAATTGGTTCTATAGAAGTGAAAGATCTCAATTTGTGAGTTGCCAAATTCCTGAAGGTAAACTTTTCTTCCTCCTATAATTTTTGAATTACACATTGGAAAAGGGGTGCTGTTAACATGAATTCAGGAAACCGTTGGTAGAGATTCCCCACTCAAGAGGTCTTCCAATTCAGCCTTTGAGAGATGACATTCCAGCTCGCATAATTTCATCAACCAAAAGAATGTTGCTAGCAATAACAGTGCTGGAGAAAACAGGAAGAGAAATTTCATTAGTCTTTATCATTCATTTAATAAAAGTATAGTCAGCCCTTTTTCTTGTATTCTTTAAGAAGGTTCATATGCCCAATTTCACTTCTGCTTTTTCTTCCCACATTAAAGGCAAAAAAAACCTGAAATATGAGACCCCATACCTAGTTACTAGCATTAAAATAGTCTGGAAAAACATACCAACTTATTTATACAAAAAGTATACTCAACCAGGTCTTAATTGTCAAGTAAATTCTATATGCAGCTATGGTCATTTTTTTAAATGATTAGCTATAAAATATTACCTAGAATGAAGCAACTGTTTTTTAACACTGTAATTATCCCAGATTCCAGCTGCTCCTGCTACCATTGGCTCACCTGAAAGATATAGGAGAAAGTTCATTAAAAACAATATCTTTTCCATAGTCTTTTGATAAGATTGCCAGGGTTGTTTTGTTTTATAAAGGATCCTCTGTGCAAACTGGTTTGGAAAACTAAAGACGTGCATAAATATTCTATCGAATTAAAAATGGTTTAAAAACTGGAAAGCAATTGTCTGTTTCCTTTGGGAGCAATTCTGCAACTTTCCCAGCCAGTTTCCAATAAGTCAATTGCGGAAATCAGATTCACTTCATAATAGTGTCATTCACTTAACATCCATATGATTCACTTAATGATTGTGGTAAGAAATTATTGGTTATTTGCTTAATGACTGTGATAAAAATGAGTCATAAAATTGGGTCCAGTCAACTTGCTTAATGACTACATCTCTTAGCAACATTAATTCCAGTCCCAATTGTGATTTAAGTTCAGGATCACATGTACAACAAATGTTTATAGCCTGCCCTTGCCTGGGTTATTGGGGATACAACCAAGCCTTCTTTACAATATTCAGATTTGTTTATGTAACTGCTAAATTGCCACAAATAAAAAGTACAACCATTAGCACCAGTTCACCTCAATGAATTCTAAATGAGAACATCATTGATAAAGGAGAATGCTTGCAGCTCAGGATTGAACTGTGGGGTCCTTGGTGCTCTCTGACCTGTTGTTTTCTTGCAGAAGTTTCATTATGCAAACTAGGTAACATCATCAGTGTCGATGTTAGTTTGCGTAATGAAACATCTGCAAGAAAACCAAGCTCAGACTGCACTAAGGATCTTCTGAGAACTTTGTTGGTTTAGTGGTACTGTTTTCTGGATAAAAGTTTGCAACTGAACTCAAGCTGAACTGAGTTTATAACTGTCATTTTCAAAAATCATCACCATCTGTTAGCTTAGTTTGTAAAAGAAAAAATTTGATGACCATAATATACCCAGCAGTTTGGAACTGTGAAGTAAGCCCATCAATCATGCTATTCCCAGCCACTGTTCTATACTCACCAGAATTTAGGTCCACCCCCACTAGTTGTCCCGACTCGGCATATTCTGCTTGAACTTTAACTAGTGTTTCTTGAGGATCATATCCAGCATTCTGAGCAAGTACCTGTAAGAATAAATATAGGGGAAAAAATAATTATCTTCTATTGTTCACTTTGTCAAAAATGAGCTATTTGGTATTTAGTGGAGATGTCCAATATGTACTTAGAACTGACTGACACCCCCTTTCATTTTAGTTCCAGCTGTATCTCTGCTGACAGCTGGAAAGTCTTGTCAATGGTAACTACAGAGCTCAAGAATGCTATAAGAGGTTTTTGTCCAGAAGCTTCCTACCTTAGGGATGATCAGCAATGCATCAGCAAATGCCTGAACTCCCAGCTGGCTTCTTCCTTTCACACTGGGCTTATGTTTCACAAGGGCATCAGCTATTGCCACCTCCAGGGCTCCAGCACCTGGAACTACACAACCTGGAAAATAAAAAATCATTTGTTAACAATCCTGCAACAAAATGCAGGACAGACACCCAAGGAAATAGTGTTTTAAAAGGGTAACCCTGATTCTTAAATATAAAGCTTTTGGGAGTTCTCAAGTCTTCTTAAAGAGTTTTAACTCTGGAAATCTTTCCAACTCAACACATGCTGTATGCCTGATGTTCGCACAATCATCTATGTGGTAAAGTCTTATTTTACCTTCATTCCCTCCTCTCACATTTATGTACCTTTAAAATATAGTTTTAAGTTGAAAGGCAGGACAATAGTAACTACTTATAATTATTTTTAAACTAGTTTTAAAATAATTAGTTTAAACTAATATAATTATTGAAACTAGTTTACCTGAGGTTTTAGTGCATTATTATGCTTCAGTTTAGGAAAGGAGAAGGGTTGGTTGTAATTGCCTTGGCAGTGTATTATTATATGTTCATTCAAGATGGCTTAGTTATATTAGCACAACCATTACTAGGAGCCAGAGCTGTTGTGGTATTTCTATTTTATGAGAGAATTTATAGTTTTGTTAACCATCACCACAATTTCAATTATATTGGTACATAGCCAAAACATACTGATCACAAACAATAAGTACTACTGGGCCTATCTAAATTTAGTAACACAAAAATATTCTGAAGCAAAAATGTTTAAAGAAGATTGTTCTTCCTTCTACAAGAAAACCTTGAAATATGAAGGATGCTAAACTTTAAAAATTTTAAAATATAATTTTCTGCAGATACAATTTTTCTTATTTGAGACCCATCTTATCATTCATGAAGTTTTAGATTCCACTGTATCCTCCAAAGTAAAATTAGTGAACCAACATATGCAACTGCAAGATGCTAAGATTGAAGACCAGAAAGATGCAGATTCCAATCCATATACAAAGTAGCTCTCCAGTCAGTCCAATCTGCCCCTAACCATTGGTTTTGTTGGAAAAAAATCAGAGAAGGGAGTTCTATGTGTGCCACTTTGAGCTCCTGGACCTCTTTTTGATAAAAAGGAATTTTCAAAGTGCTATTAACCAAATGTATTAATTGAAGTAATATTAAAATAAAACTTCATTTAATCAATTGGCTACCCTGAGGCTACTAAAATATGAAGTGCTTCTAACCAGGGGTGGGTTTCTACCGGTTCTGTCCACCTCCGTAGAACCGGTAGCTCTGAAAAGCAGCAGACATAGAACCGATTCTATGTCTGCTGATGTTTTTGCCCATCACCCACCCGGGCTCTTACCTGACCTTTATTTCCTGATTTTTTTCAACTTCAGCTGCTGTGCAAAGCACAGCTGCAGTTAAAAAAGCAGGAAAAAAGGGCTTTTTGAAAGGCTGCTTCTCTGCACGCAACATGCTGATGACGATTTACAGGTGCAGCTGGCAGCGTGCAGGGAAGCACATTGTAAATGATCGAACTTTGTAAATGACCGAACTGGTAGTTAACCCTGTCGGATCCCACCCCTGCTTCTAACCCAGACTCACCATCCTCAATGGCATTTTTGACAGCACGTAGTCCATCTCTTATAGCATCCTTGATCTGTGTCAGAGTGTGCTTATTCGGTCCCTTGATCAACAGAGTCACAGAACGAGGGTTTTCACACTTCTCAATAAAGGTATATTTCTCTTCACCCTGTGCAGAGAGAACAGTTCAGACTTGAACGATCATAAATGCTAAGTATGTGATATATATTGAATTTTCTACAGTTTTGAACAGTGCATTTATTATATTGTTACTATGTCTATTTTTATTTGTTTTTAAAAAGCTCGTAGCTTGTTCTACTTAGTAATAGCTAAGGATTCCAAGATTAAGTTATCGTATCACTCACCTCCCTCAAAGAGGAACTCTAATTCTATGAAACGTTCTTCCACCCATCCATCTACCCCAAGGGTCTTCAAACTTGGCAAGTTTAAGACTTGTGGACTTCAACTCCCAGAATTCCTGAGCTAACATGGCTAGAGGAGGAATTCTGGGAGTTGAAGTCCACAAGTCTTAAAGCTGTCAAGTTGGAAGACCCCTGATTTACCCACTTGGCTCATGAATAACATAACGCTATTGAAGTTAGGTATTCATTATAATGCTTGCCACAGAAATCAAACTGAAAAGAATTAAACACTTTAAAAATCAAACTCACCAAGGTATATTCATAGACAAGACCTGCATGTCCCAGGCAGTCAATGGAGAGGTCATCTACAGAATTCATAGCAACACCTCCACAGGCAAGGGTTAACCTGAACACAAAGAATAAATATGCTTGGATATTTCTGTTATAATCTGTTTTCATATACTGTTGTTTGCTTGATTTGGCTTGGTAAGTTGTGAACCAGCTGTGATTTATTCAGTAAACCAGCATTTAGGCTAGTGGCAATATCTGCTCTTTTTAAATGCAACCAAGAATGTTAAGTAGTCCCTTTGTTCTAATAACGGGATCAATGTGTGAATATCTTTATGTAATACTAACAATTCAAAGTGATTAAAGTGGTTAATTTATATCAGTATTCTAAATTTATTTTGAAGACATTCTAAAGAAAACATTGTTTATAGATTTCCAAATGTTTTCCAAACATCTAGGATTAGAATTATAACATAAGAGAAGATCATTTCTCACAAAAGTTTTGTGCATCACTTTTCTGATTTACAGCAAGATGCTGTATTAGGGACTAAACATTTTCAAAGGAAAACAAATAGCAGTGTCAGTCCAAGGCAGCCCCCAGGTTCTTGCAGAAACTGACCTCTCCATATTTCTTCGCTTTGCTCTACGCAGTGCTACTATCCCTTCTTTTGCAAGTGCATCCAGGGACAAAGGATCAATCCCCTGAAAATACAGAAGACCATGCAATAAGCAGATCTACTCAGGTTTAAATAAAGCTTATACTGAAAAATTAAATAAAGAAATGATGCAAGAATACCACGATTTAATGAACCACTAGGGTTCCTATTATAGCTAAATGTCTATTAATGATAAATTTATTATCAACTTTCAATTTCATTGTACACGTTGTACACTGACAATAAACGTTTTATTTGATTTGAACTTGTGACTTGCATAATAAAATGTCATCTGACTCCCAGAGACTCTGGATCATTTACAATAACACAAGTAACAAATGGCCCATTTCTGATAAAATGGACCAACAAAATCTGGATGCAAATTTTGTCCAATGCTAAATAGGAGGCACGTAAAACAATGTTTCATTCGATTTGGCCCATTTTTGTATTATAGACCCATTTCTTAGGCAACCATCTCAATCAATACCAAGCCCTCCGCCTACCTTTTGGTTGATGACAATAAAACCTTTATTTGAATCCCCAACAACTGAATTTTTCAATTCTATGATTTTATTCACTCTTTCTTCAATGAACTTTCTTTCTGCTTTAACAAGCTTTTCTCTTTCTTCTGCACTCTTATAAAAGAATCCAGAATTCACCTCTCTGGAAAAAAAATATACTGTCAGAATTTAAGTTATACAGGAAATATAAAAAGTAACCAAACTCTTGGGTCAAACTTAACTCCCAGTAAAAGACATTGACAAAACCCAGGCAGTTTTCTGGGAAACTATACAGAAATAGTTTCCCGTTGTCACCTTCCAGGATTTTTTCATCTCCTAAGTCTAATATATCCTCCAAGCATTATGTGGTGTCTCCCAATCAATTACTAACCAGATCTGGCCTGATTTGCTTTCTATCCCAGTAAACATATGTGAAGGTAGGGGCAGTCAGAAGCAATTGACACCCGAAATAGTGGATTTTAACCAAGAAGATCCTATGAACCAAATACCAAACTCCACAAATTTAGGATTAAACCAGCTCAGTTTGCAAGTCCCAATTAAAGCTGTAAGCCCTAAGGTATACATACGTTTTTTCATATTCTAGTGACACATTGCAAGTAAGGATGTAAGCATCTTCAAGCCTCTTCTTCATGTCAGGATGACGAGCGCCATGGTCCAGGACAAGTCCTCTTATTAGGCTGTAAAAGATATTTAAAATAGCCTTTTAAGAAGTTAGGTTCAGTTGTTTATCCCTTCTAGTCTTTAGCATTTCCTGCTAAAAATAGGACATTTAGGAACAACTTTGTTGTGTATCCTTTTCAGACCCGTGCATACTGCTTAAGGACAGCATGTCACTAGACAAATCTGAGGCAAGTTTTATTCTTGCATGGTGTCTGACTCCATTAGCCATTGCAAAAGCCAATGCAGAATTCACCCATGCCCTCGGTTCTAAATACTTCAAACTCTGACTTCACTCCCTTTAACAGTTCAGAATAAAAGATATTCTTTATTTATCAGATATTATAAAGCAGAAACAATATAGTAAATCTTCCACCCTAAGGCCCACACTTGAACAATAACTCCCACAATTCTCTGTCATGCTGGCACAGAATTCTACAAGATCCAATATCTGGAAAATGCCAATTTAGGAAAGGCTAAGAGAGCATGACGTGGGACAGTGATGATTCTGCCAGAAGGGAAATGCAAGACTGATACGTTTCAAGGCTTTGGGAACAGAGCCCATTTATCTTATACCTACGTTGTGTCTGTTTCAGATTTATGCTTCATCTCCATGATTTCAACCATATAAAGATCTATTGGCTCATTTGGTTTTCTGATTGCCAGAATCGAATCGACTACAGCCTTCAAAGAAAAGAAAACAAGCCACATCAAACAGGACTCCAGAATTTAGGGATCCACTTCACTTTAAATATGGGAATTATATAGAATTTAGTTCTGGACACAAATCCATGAGACTCACCTCAGTTAAGATGTCAGCAAGTTCAGCATGGACCTTTGTGCGGAGGGAAGTTCTAGCAACATCTAGGAGTATTTCCCTGTCCATTTCCTTTGCTACTTTGACCTGCTCCAGGATCTGAAGAGCTTTTTCTTTTGCAGCTTCAAATCCTTCTGTAACTAATCGGGGATGTAACCCCTAATACCAACACAAACATGGTTTTAAAAAATCATGCACACATATACAATTCCATACTCTGGTTACAGACAAAAATAAAGCGATCAGTTTCCATAAGCAATTACTTTTTATTATTAAAAAAATATCTCTAGACATACTTTAAACCCCTTGGAGCAGATCCTGAAACTGGCCAGTTGCTACGAGTTGAATGGCATATACATTTAATAAAATATTATGACATTATTAATGGTAAAGGTTGAGAGAAAAGAAAACAATGGAAAATCTGTCTACACAACAATAGATTTAATCAAGTGATTTCAAGGGAAACTGTTTTACTTTTTTAACTTTTCTAGATGATTGGAGGCTGTGCATGATTTTGTACTGTCCTTTTGAATACATGTAAAAGGAAAAACAGTCCTTTCAATGCAGAGGTAAAGTACAGTTTATTCTTGCACAGAATTATGCCAAAGAAACTATGGAGCTCATTTGGGTGTTCACTGTGCAACAAACTCAGAAATTTCTCATACTGTGGTCAAAACTCAATTATATATCATTCTTAATCTGAATAAACAAAAGTTCAGAGCCACAGGGGAAAATAATAATTTGTTAAACATGTTACAAAGATTGAAATGTTAGTCTAGTTTATGGATATTCACTCTGATTTAGCAAAATAGGGATGGTGCAACTAAAGAGTCTTTTTAAATAGCAACACCAATAATTTTTCACTCAGCTTTATTTGAATATGAAAGCAAATTGAAGATGTTCTCAAGTACACTACAAGCACATAACACTGTCACATACCTCTGAAATATAGAGATCTGCCTGTTTGAGCAGCTCACCAATTATAAGGACATTAGAAGTAGTCCCATCACCAGTGATGTCATCTTGTGCTGTTGCTACTTTGGCTATCAAGGAAGCTGTTGGATGTTGGATTTGCTGATGGATGCAAAGAGAACAAAAAGAGTATCATCAAAATGTCATTCCTTTGCTTAGTTACTCACAATCTCGTCTGGATTACTGCAATATGCTCTACATGGGGTTCTCCATGAAGAGCCTTCAAAAAATTCAAACTTTTGTTTTTATGCTTTATGATTTATACCACCCAGAGTGACTTTTTGAGATGGGTGGCCCCAGAAAGCAAATAAAAAGGTGCACAAGACAGCTGCCCAAGTAGTTAAGTAAAGGGTGGCAGATTTCCAATCAATATAAAACTACAATATTGTTATGTGAGTTGCATTGTTGCCAGTGTGCTTCTGGGTGCAATTCAAGGTGCTGATTATTGTATTTAAAACCCTTCATGGCTTGAGACCAAGCTAGCTAAGGAACTGTCCTCTCCCAGTCATTTCTAACTTTCCAATTTGATGGAGCAGGTTAGCTTGGGCATGTTATAGGGCCCGCTGGCCAGGGAATGTCATTTCTGCCTTAGCCTCTGCCCTCTGGGGAACATTCTCCTTTCATAGCTCAAGATGATCCCATACTTCACAAGGCCGTGAATAGTTGGGTTATGTATCTGGGGCCCCAAATGTGTTAAGGTGTTTCTTAACTATATTAAGACCCATGGCAATAATTCCACTCAACAACCATACATATTTACTTTTATGCTTTATGATGTATACCACCCATAGTCATTTATTGAGACGGGTGGCCATAGAAATCAAATTAAAGAATGAATACATTCCTCCTTTTACTATTGTGCTTTATTATCAATTTAATCACTTGAAGAAACAATCCACAGTAACACCAGCAATGTATATATTCTAATCTTTGAACCATAAAAGCAGAGAGAAGCTTATGCTTTGACCGACAGATCCTTCTAGACCAGGGGTGTCAAACTGGATTTCTTTGAGGCCCAGATCAGCACCGTAGTTCTCCTCCACAGGCCGGGGGGAGAAGAGATGGGACGGATGGCCCCCAGCCCCGTTTTCAGCCTGGACCGCTTCCTGCAGCACCTTGCAAAATGGAGCTGGTCCCTGCTATTTCCAGGCCAGCCCCGTGGGCCAGATTTAAACATTCTGGATCCAGCCAGCAGGCCTTGTGATACCCCTGTTCTAGACTATTGTTACACAATTGAAGTAAAATATAAAATCATCAATAACTTTGACACAACATTTTTAGTAAAAATTTTGGCCTGTATCATCAATAGTGTTCACCTAGTAAGATCTAGCAATGTGCTTCTTTACTGCATGTAAATAAAAGTTCGAGAAGGTATTGTATGAGTTGATATTTTAAAATTATATTTTGGGAAGGGAAGGGAAAGCTTACCATCTCATGAAGCAGGACATTGCCATCTTTGGTAAGCTTGATATCACCAGCACCAGACACAAGCCTATGGAAAACAGCAAGCAAAGCCCTCAATCCTAGTTCTTTTTCCAAGTGTTTTGGGCAAAAGGACCTGACAAATTTAATTCACTAATATCACTATTCTTACTGTGTACAAAGAATGATTCAATACTTTTGCAAAAAGAAGACATTTCAAAGCAAACTATGATTCTTTTTTTGGCTAATCATATATATAATTCAGGAAAGGCCTATTAATAAATATATATCTTACCCCAACCATATAATTTGAAATGAAGGATATCATTACAGGTAGGCCTCAACTTACAACAGTTCAGTTAATGACTATTCAAAGTTATGACAGTACTGAAAAAGTGACTTATGACTATTTTTCACATGTCCATTGCAGCAACCCCATGGTCATGTGATCAAAATTCAGATGCTTGGCAAATGACTCATATTTGAGTCTGCAGTGTCCCAGGGTCATGTTTTACGACCTTCTGACAAGCAAAGTCAATGGGGAAGCCAGATTCATTTAACAACTGGGTTTCTAATTTAACAACTGCAGTGTTTCACTTAACAATTGTGGCAAGAAAATGTCTCACCAAAAATGTCTCACTTAGCAACATAAATTTTGGAGTTAATTGTGGTAATAAGTCGAGGATTACCTGTATAAAAGACCCACATTGCCACCCCAATATGGAGAATCTTCTGATTGTTTGGCATGCCTGACTGACTTTTTCTTTAGAGAAAAAAGGAGACGGGGACTTAGCAAAAGTAGTTTGGGGCTTGGCCAATAAAATAATACAATCTGTGTGGAAAAAAAAACCTATGTAAAAGAAATGTTAAGCGGGCACCATCACCACCAGGGCTCTTTTCTACTTTCAACTCTGGGACTGACTATTAATCAAGGGCAGAGGTCTCCAAACCTGGCAACTTTTAAGACTTGTGGACTTCAACTCCCAGAATTCTCCAGCCAGCTGGCTGGAGAATTCTGGGAGTTGAAGTCCACAAGTCTTAAAGTTGCCAAGTTTGGGGACCCCTGATCAAGGGAATATTCTTCTAATGCCATCTCCTCCTCCAGCCAGTTACAGCAACCAGATGCAGATGGCATAACAACTTCAGTACTTTAGAGTTGTGTAAGTGAGCTAATTTTGGGTACAATTATAAAACTATGACATTGCCTCAGACTAAGATCTGGCCAATCAAACCTGCCATGCTTTCATTCAGCTGACACCATGCACTGATCATTAAGCCAAGTACATGGTAACAGTGCTCCACCTGTGATAGTGGATGAGGAGAAGTTGCAATAACCCCACCCCCAAAGGTAAGACAATTATGTTCAATTAGCATGTTTTAAATTCTGACTTGTACAAAACAAATTGGCAGATGGGACAATATTATGCTCAAAGCATAAAAATTTAGAGTGCCAGTGGGGTTAAGGAGTTGGACTAGTAAGATACAGGTCCTAGTCCACCTTCAGCCACAGAAACTCAGGGGTGATTTTGAGCCACGGGATTTCTCTAAGCCCAACCCAATCTCATGGGTTGGCTACTGTGGGGACAAACAGGAGGAGGGATTGCACCTCGAACTCCAGTACAAAAGGCAGGATATAAATTGAAAAAAAAAAATTCCTAACTAATTGCGTAGATAAAATAAAGCCTTATTTGTAATCACTCTAAATCGACCGATGCAGAAAATATAAGTATTTTATACCGATCTGAAAGTACATCGTACCGCCCAATGCTTTTTAACCAATTACACGCCCTGTAAAGACATATTTGCTGTCGCTCTGCATGTATTTTTTTTAAAATAGATGCCACTACTGGTACTGCCTGATCCCTTCAATTTTTATAAAAGAAACTGTCATTGACAACCCTGTGGAAAGGCTAAGTACAAAAGAGCATATCGTTAAGTGGGTTCGGGGTTACTTTGCGCACGCATTCACCTCGCTGCTTCCGGCCTCGAGCGCCATGTGGGTGGGTGGGGCTAAGGCGTGGCCACGCCTCTCCCCAACCCTCAGCTCCCACAACGAGCTCCCCCCCCTTGCCCCCCCGCCCCCGCCTTACATTTTCATGGTTCCTTTGGGCCCGAGATTGGTCCTGAGCACATCCTGCAGGCCCCGCGCCGCGCTGATATTGACCGCCAAGGCTGCTTGAGCCCGCGCTACCTCAGCTTTGGGGTTGAGCGCCTTCACCGCCATCGCTCCCGGCTACTTCTGGAGGAGAAAAAGGGAAAGGAGCGAATGTGCGCACGCTCCCGCCTGACTCGACCCAGGTCTGACGAAACGAGGGGCGGGCCTAGCGACATCACAGCCTCCTTAATTCTAGAACAGTCCATATCAAGACCTAAGTACTTGGGGTGCTATTGGTCCTCTGAAAAACCGCCTTTCATTCCCATTGGTCAAATATCTGCGTCGTTCATGAGTCCACTGGGCTGCCTGATATAACGGCTAGGATGGCGGTTGGAGACGGTTGCTATGCAAATGGTGGTGGGCTTACGTGTCGAATATTCATAAAACTTTAAAATACTACTTTACAATCTGATTAAGTTATTTGTTTAAAAAAATTTTTTTGCTATCTGGATTGCTTAAAAGATATTTATAAATGCACACGCACCCCCACACATGAAAGTACTGTTAACATTATTCCCTTAAATCTCAGATTTTGGGATTCTCCCCTGAACTTTCAGGGACTGAGAAACAAAATCAAAAGAATGAATATAGGAGGGTCCTATATTTAAAATAACTCTACTCTTCCTATCATTTTGAAATCTGACCACTAATATAAAATCATTTTCAATGTTTCCCTAACAGTTTAATACATATACTTAGGCAGCATTAATTATGCCATATTCCACAGAACAAATAGAGAAGTCAAAAGTCCTAATATTTGGGTTTTGTTTTTAAAATTCTCTTGTGTTAGTTCTAATAAATACATACTCAACTTAGGGCCAAAGAAACAGGCTAGGGATGGCAATCCTAACATCCTTCCAATTGCATGGCAGTATTGCTTTATCAAATTGCCTAATCTTATGGTGGGTGTTGTGGCCTAGACTGTTAGTACAGGTAGTCCTCAACTTTCAGTGACCGTTCAAAGTTACAACAGCACCAAAAAAAGTGATTTATGACTATTTTTCACACAACCATTGCTCATCCCCAAGGTCACGTGATCAAAATTCAGATGCTTGGCAACTGGTTCATATTTATGATGATTGCTGTGTCCCAAGGTCATGTGATCCCCTTTTGCGACCTTCTGACAAGCAAAGTCAATGGGGAAACCAAATTCATTTTAACAACCGGGTCACTAACATCAACTGCGGTGACTCACTTAACAATGGCACTTAACAAATGTCTCACTTAACAACAGAAATTTTGGGCTCAACGGTGGTCATAAGTTGAGGACTACCGTACCTGTACTGGGTGATTTCAATCTTTCCTCCCTGAAATCAGAGGTAGCCTAGGGTTTCATGGCTGTCAAGGCAACCATGGTCCCACCCCCATCA